TTATTATTATTTTTATTTTATTATTATTATTATTATTATTATTATTATTATTATTATTAACTTATTGTTTCTTCTAAAAAAATTTTGCAATTATTTTGTTTATTAAATATAATTGAATTTTCAAATACTTATTTAAAAATAGAGCGGCTTTCACTCCATTCCTTTACACAATGGTTACAATCCACCTAATCCAAAGTTTAGCAAGTTAATTGTTTTAGGGTTGAGTGTTCAACCTCTCAATGTTTATGTTAATGGAAATTCAGTTCCTTTTGAGTATGATTTCAAAATGCAGGTCAGATAATTACATTGTTTTATAAAAGTGTTTATGTATTATGTTTTAAAATGTTAAATTTATTAAATTTAAAAGTTTTTAGATTTTAAAAATTTTTAAAAGTGAAATTATTGTAGATTTCAAAAATGCATTTTGTTTTTATGTTCACAAGTTATTTACTGAAATTGATAAGATAATATCAGTCTCATCATCTTTATCAATTATCTCCTTAATTTTCTTCTTTTTCTAAGTGTCTTTATCTCTATTTTCAAAAGAGACTTTTAAGCTTTCTTTTTTTTATGTTGCTCTTTTTACATTTTTTGGATAAGCTTAATGAAATAGATTAATTAACATCAATAATATATGCCATAGTATGACATACAACTACATTGACCCAAGTTTTTTTTTACTTATATCTTCTTCACAATTTTTTTATATATTTGCATGCCATATTCATACAGGAAATAAAAACAATAGTATAAGATTTTTTTCAATATATATATATAATTATTATCGTGCCAAACACAAAAAATTGATATTTTTAAATGTTTGTGTGTGTGTGTGTGTGTGTGTGTGCATGTGGGGGCATTTTGTTGCAAATATTTCCGCCGGTAAACTCTTTTTTTTAGTTAATATATAATTTATTTTAGATTCTCGAAGTAACCGGTATGAGTTTGTCTATTACCAAAGAGAATTTTATTACCTGGGATGTTTAAGATTTCATTGATTTGATTTTCTATTTTTATTTTTCATAATAAATTTTATTTTAAACGTGAATTGTTTTTATTGTTGAAATTATCATTTTTTTTAGTTTTCTTAGTATTTTTTTTTGTTTTTTTTTTGTTATAGAATTAAGCTAGTTGGGTTAAGTTTGAAATTAAGATAAAAATAAGCATAAAAAGATTTCTGGTAAGTTTTCTGATAAGTTTGTTGCATGATGCAGTGTGTGTCAGCCTCAGATACCTGTTGATATATTTTTTTAGAAATTAAGTTTTTAAAACATAAAAAGATTTTCCATTGTTTCTTTTACAACGTCTACCAATGCTGTCCTGGTGTTTCATGCATTTACAACGTCTACCGCTGTCCTGGTGTTTCATGCATTTACAACGTCTACCGCTGTCCTGGTGTTTCATGCATTTACAACGTCTACCGCTGTCCCTGGTGTTTCATGCATTTACAACGTCTACCGCTGTCCCTGGTGTCACTTTTTTACTCTGATTTTTCTCAGCTGTTTGCTGAACATTTTATTAAGATTTACATGAACATTTTATTAAGATTTACATGAACATTTTATTAAGATTTACATGAACATTTTATTAAGATTTACATGAACATTTTATTAAGATTTACATGAACATTTTATTAAGATTTACATGAACATTTTATTAAGATTTACATGAACATTTTATTAAGATTTACATGAACATTTTATTAAGATTTACATGAACATTTTATTAAGATTTACATGAACATTTTATTAAGATTTACATGAACATTTTATTAAGATTTACATGAACATTTTATTAAGATTTACATGAACATTTTATTAAGATTTACATGAACATTTTATTAAGATTTACATGAACATTTTATTAAGATTTACATGAACATTTTATTAAGATTTACATGAACATTTTATTAAGATTTACATGAACATTTTATTAAGATTTACATGAACATTTTATTAAGATTTACATGAACATTTTATTAAGATTTACATGAACATTTTATTAAGATTTACATGAACATTTTATTAAGATTTACATGAACATTTTATTAAGATTTACATGAACATTTTATTAAGATTTACATGAACATTTTATTAAGATTTACATGAACATTTTATTAAGATTTACATGAACATTTTATTAAGATTTACATGAACATTTTATTAAGATTTACATGAACATTTTATTAAGATTTACATGAACATTTTATGAAGATTTACATGAACATTTTATTAAGATTTACATGAACGTTTTATTAAGATTTACATGAACATTTTATTAAGATTTACATGAACATTTTATTAAGATTTACATGAACATTTTATTAAGATTTACATGAACATTTTATGAAGATTTACATGAACATTTTATTAAGATTTACATGAACGTTTTATTAAGATTTACATGAACATTTTATTAAGATTTACATGAACATTTTATTAAGATTTACATGAACATTTTATTAAGATTTACATGAACATTTTATTAAGATTTACATGAACATTTTATTAAGATTTACATGAAAAATTTTATTAAGATTTACATGAACATTTTATTAAGATTTACATGAACATTTTATTAAGATTTACATGAACATTTTATTAAGATTTACATGAACATTCTTAAATTTTGTGTTCTCTCTTAGCTTGCGATCATTCCATAGTACTAATTTGATTGAATTTTATTTCTTAGTTTAACTATGATAATTTTTGTTGTACTTCTTTTAGGGCTAGACATTATTCGAGATGGTATTGGGTTTATGGTATTGTTTACCTGTAGTATAGTTAGTATTTCTTTTACTAGTTGATCATCTTTATTTTTGATATCATCTTAAGCCCCTGAGATGATTCAAGTTGCTTAGAACCAGTGACGAATCCAGGGGGATTTAGGTTATGCATCCTTCCCCATCATTATCTGAAAGTTTTAAAATATTTTAGAAATGAAGAAACTTTTTTTTATGGAGAAGCAAATGTGATACAAAATATAAAAATATTACAACATCCTCCCCCACCAAAAATTCCTGGATCCATCACTGCTTAGAACAATATTGTTTTCAATGAGTTTTCTTTCTTCTAGTTCCTGTCTCATCTTAGTGATCATTTCTTCTTTATTCTTATCTTTGTTATCTTTTCTTCTTATCTTATTCTTATTGAATGAAGCGACAATTGTGACTTACGATTGTAATGAGTTGAAGGGAATGTCCAGTATAAGCTATCATTTTCTTATTTCTATTGCTTTTTTCTCAAGGTCGTTTATTTTTGTCGTTAGTAAATAGTATTTTTAACCAAAAATCACTCAGTTTGACATGCTGAAATTCTGTTTTTGTAATAGCTTAAATGTTATTGCTAATGATTTAAACCAATCGTGATGCTGTCTTTTTGAGGTTGTATGATTTTCTTGGCCAATTTGGTAACAAAACGATAACATCGTCCATTGATATTACTTTAAACTTTGTTTGGAGAACTTTGTTCAACCCAATTAGCTAATTTGCCTAAAAAATGTTGCTTTACAATCATCAAAAATTATTGAATTACCAAGTTTATTTGTACGAAATTATTGTTTTGAATTTCATTTGAAAGTTGTTTTGAATGTCATTTTGCTCTGGAAGATAACCTTTAAAATGTACAATTTTTTTTTCATCAAAAATCGACATCGCAAGATGTAGAAGATAAAAATTTCCAAAAAATAATATAATAATATTAAAACCGGCTGGACAATTAAAGAAATCATCTTTTATATGCAAATGATGGAAAGGTTTAAAAAAAAACAGTAAAATTAACAAAAATCAATTAAAAATAATTTTAATTTTTAGAGTGACCAATTTAAACAATTCATTTAAAACCTATAAATTGCCCGCAAAAAATAAAATTCTACAAACGAAAATTGTAAATTATTAGAGATCGTCCGTAAAGTAAAAACGCTGGGATGGGGGAGAGGGTCTGCAATTGAGGTTAGACAAATGATAGCAACAAAATCAAAATTAAAAAATATAAAAGAAAAATTAACATATGTGCTATTCAACAATTTAAAAACTCACTATCGGCAGTAAAATGGGAAAAGGTATACCAAGAATGCAACCTTAGGCGCACCAACTCCGCTTATAATAACTTTATACAAATTTTCTTAAAAAACTACAATAGTCATTTCCCCATTCATGTAAAACTAATAAAAGCAATAATATTTAAAATGTCCATGGGTCACCAAAGGTATAAGAAAATCTTCGAAAAAAAACAAAAACTTTATATCAAGTTCTTAAAAAATAGAAATGAAGCCAACCTTACTGCGAATAAACAATAAAAAAATTTGTTTGAAAAATTTTAAAAAATTCAAAAAAAAATTTCTTCTCGAATCAAATAAAAAATTCAAATGGTGACATTAAAAAAACATGGGAAGTTATGAAAGAAATAATTGGAATAAAAAACTATAAAACAAATAGCTTGCCTAATAAAATTTTCATAAATAATAAAGAGTATAACAACAAATTTGAAATCTCAAAAAAAATTAACAAATTTTTTGTAAACACTGACCCTAATCTGGCCTCAAAAATTTATTCTCCTAATAACTCATTTGAAGCCTATCTAGAAAACGTTAACTGCGAATTAATATTTAAAGAACTAAAAATTGAAGAACTAGAAACTGCAATAAAATCTCCTAAAAAAAACAAGTCTCCAGGTATAGACGATATTTGCAGTAATATTGTTTTTAATGTTTTTTCAAAGGTAAGCAAACCTATCTTCGAAATATTCAAATCGTCGATTAAAACAGGAATTGCACCGGACAAATTAAAAACAGCTAAAATTATACCCATTCTTAAAACCGGTGAAACGTCATCTTTAAGTAACTATAGACCAATCTCCATACTTCCTACTTTCTCTAAACTACAGTACCTGGCCACAATATTATGATCATTTCAGTTTTTCCACTTATTTTGTTTTCAAAGTTATTTTAAAGTAATTTTAAGGTGAGTATATTATTATTACTAACTTATTATACAATACTGACATCTATCAAATAAAATAGAAAAGATAAACTTATTTATAATCATGACCAATGTGAAGTAAGGTGTGTTTTAAGTCAGCAATGTGAATTTTTGTTAATTTAAAAGAAAATGTGGTTGATCTGTCACATACATTTTTTTTACATTTTAACAGACTTTTTTGAGTGAAAAGTGTTTTATTATTTTTAATACATTTTATAAAGGTACTATAAATAGCATGAATTAATATATAGTACCATTTTATTAACATTTTTAGTGTAACAGGTTGTAATTTAAAATTTCAATAAAAAATAAACATGGGTAAAGGTATGGATATAAGTCCAAGCAAAATTTCAAAAGTAAAAGCACTTTTACAACATTCAGAGCGTTCACAACGGGAAATTGCAAAAATGTGTAAAGTTTTGCAACCTTTTGTCTATAAAATCAAACACAAAATGGAAAACGACACCACTCTTTCTCCAAAAAAGAAAGGACGGAGTGGGTCAAAACGTAAAACCACTTCCAGGACAGACAGAATTATAAGAGATATATGTCTGGAAAATAGAAAAAAATCATCCCTCTTGCTGTCAAAACTTGTTCAGGAGTATGGAATACAAATTTCGGAGCGCACAGTGAGGAGACGTCTGGCTGAAGTTGGTTTAAAATCACACAAACCGATTAAAAAACCAAGGCTAACTCCAGCAATGATAAAAAAAGAGATTGCAATGGGCAAAAAATCATAAGTATATGACTATTGGAGATTGGGAACATGTAAGTTTATCAATTTTGAATGAAATATTGTTAAAAGAGTGTTTAAATGTTGATATAAACTTATTTACAACCTCACTATGATGATTTTTTCAGGTGTGTTTTTCAGACGAATCAATTTTTGAGATCTTGTTGGACAAAACCACCTTCGTCCGAAGAAGACCAAACGAAAAATATCATCCAGATTGCATTGTACAAACTATTAAACACCCAACTAAAGTTATGGTGTGGTCAGTTATCAGTGATAAAGGCACAGGAAGACTATATATTGTCAATGGGATGATGAACCAAATACAGTATCAAGAGGTTATGGAGAGTCAACTTATCCCCCAAATACAAGAATGGTTTCAAAATAATAATACATTTATGTTTATGCATGATAGTGCTCCATGCCATAAAGCTAAAGGGATCACAAACTTTCTTAAAACAAAAAATATCCCCGTTTTAGATTGGCCAGGGAACTCTCCTGACCTGAATCCGATTGAGAATTTGTAGAACATTCTCAAAAAGGAACTCTCTTTTTAAGTTTTTCAACAAACAAAAAAGATTTGATTGAAAAATTACTCTATCATTGGCACCACAATGAAAAAAATAAGACAGCAGCAATAAACTGTATTAAAAGTATGCCAGACCGAATAGCTAATGTCATTTCGTTAAAATGAGGAATGACAAAGTATTAATATTTTTTTATGACTTGCAATCAAAAAGAGTAATTGTTTGTTAAAATGTGTGTATATTGATATTGAAATTTTATTTTGTTATTAAGGAAACATGTTTTATCAATAAAATATAACTAATATTGCAATTCTATTTTTTTATACTTTTTACAAACCCTTGAAGTTAAAAATACACAAAAACTGTAGATGATCATAATATTGTGGCCAGGTACTGTACTTGAACAATTAATCTACAATAAATTATATAATTATCTAACTCAAAACAAATTCTTAAATAAAAAGCAATTTGGTTTCCAGACACAACACTCGACCGAACATGCAATTCTAGATCTAGTACATACCATAAGTGATTCATTCGATAAAAACCAATTTGTACTAGGAACCGTTATAGATCTATCAAAAGCGTTTGATACTGTCAATCATAATATATTACTAAAAAAAAAAAAATGGAAAAATATGGAATAAAAAATATAAATCTTGATTGGTTCAAACCTACCTGTTACCTGTGTGGCAGAATAAAAAATATAAATCAGAATAAAAAATCAGAATAAAAAATAAGAATCAGAATCAGAATAAAAAATATAAATCTTGATTGGTTCAAACCTACCTGCTACCTGTGTGGCAGACAACAATGCGTAATTTCAGACGATAACAAATATTTAAACCTTTTAGAAATAAAATGTGGAGTTCCTCAAGGTTCCATTCTTGGTCCCCTTCTATTTCTAATTTATATCAATGATCTTCCAAAAGCCTTAAAAAAAACTTGATGTTATTATGTTTGCCAATGACACAAATCTATTTTAATCATCGTCTTCCATCAAAGAACTTTATGAATCAATGCTGATCTTAAAAATCTCAACATCTGGTTCATCAAGGCAAATAAATTATCTTTAAATGCAAAAAAAACCAAATATATCTTGTTTCATTCTAACCAGCAGAAAAATAATATACCACTAATCCTACCATCATTAAAAATAGATAACATACGCATTAAAAGAACTGAAAAACTAAATTTCTTGGAGTAATTATTGATGAGAAGATTTACTGGAAGGCCCATATAAGAAAAATAATTTGGAACTAATCCAAACTTGGACTAGTTCCAAATTATTTTTCTAATAACTTTTTTCGAATTAACGCTAATAAGTATACTACAAGAGGAACGGGAAATTTCACGTTGCCTATAAAAAAAACAAAAATTTCGCAATATGCAAGTGTATACCGTGACCCCTTCCTATATAACAAAGTCATACTCCAAAATATAGAACTTAGTAACTCTGGTAATCTTTATGCTTTGAAGAAAAACCTTTAACATCTCATAATTAACTCAACAAATTTTATCGATATGTTTTAAACATATTTGACAAAAAAGTGAAAAAGAAAAAATAACAAAATCCAAAATTCTTATACAACACCTACTAATTTTAATATCTCAATATTTTTATGTGTATTACTCTAGTAATGTCACTTAATAAGTTTGCTTTTTAATTTTTTACTTATTTTATGTTTCAAAGGTTCTCGATGACAAGACTTCTTTAAGTCTTCTGTAAGTTTCCTTACAACATCACAATTATTTCAGCAAATTATTTTATCAATCTTATTATCATAAAATATATATAAAACATATACTTTGTTTTTAACACAGTGCGTTTGACAATATATTTTTAACGATTTATATATGTATACATTTATTTTTGTTTTCTCTATGACTATATATTATGTCAAGAGAAGGAATTGTAACAATAGTTTATAAAGTTGTAAAAAATCATGAAAAAAAAAAAAAAAAAAAAAAAAATTGGTGTATATGAGATGAGAGGCATGGGGTTAATTATAAAAGTAAAGAAACACTAGATTAAAAAAAAATATCTCAAAATATTGGTAGGAAGGTTAAAAGCGTAGATATAGTTAATAACAGTAACTATAGTTACTGTTATTAATGTAGAACATAAAGATACAGATGAAAAACTGTCTGACTCAGATGTAAAACTGGAGAAAGCAAAAATGTAAATTATTGAGAATTGGTTGAACTTCTGGCTTCCATAAAATATTATTTTGCAGGAGCATATAAGATAAATCAAATCAGCAAAAAAAAATTGTAACTTTTTATAATAATAACATACAAAATAAAACGATTAATCTTCCGGATGATACAATTATTATACTGTCCAAAGAAAGCAAAACCATTTTTTTGTTTTTGACTGCACACCAGACCTTTTGTTTCATTCAGATGGAACCAGGTATTACCATAAAAGACAATTTCATTTCGTTGTTATCGGTAGGCTGTCAAACTGGAACTCCCTTGACCGATATTTTAAACGAATTAAAAAATTAGGATTAGACATGCAGAGCTACCGAGGTCAAGGTTTCGATAAGGTAGCAATTACGTTTCGTTCAGCAACAAAGTATGAGCTACAGTTTTTTAAAACGAGACCAAACTCAAAGGTTGCTATTGATATTTTAAAGCGAGGCTTTCTTCTTTATTTTTTTATGCTGCAAATCTTCAACTAATTCAGTGTCTTTTTTTTCTGCTTCTACAAAGCAATCACTATTCTTAAAAATCAATGTCAAAAAGCAGATTTAACTTTAGCATAAACAGAAAGCATTACGTTACGTTTCAGGTAAAAGAAATACACGATGCATTACATCAAATCCTTAGTAGTGACTCTTTTTTAGCGGATAAGCAAAATGACGGTGAAACGCTTGGAAAACAATTGAAAAGTTTTTCATTCCTAGTTTTACTCGTTATCTGCTAAGAATTCTCTTTTTTATTAATGTAATTAGCAAATGGATGCAAGAAAAAGTTCAGATTTTAAAATTACAACTGAATTAACAAAAATAACAATATTTCTTGGATATTTTTGTGATAATTGCTTCTACACTTTCATTACAGAAGCTAAGGAGCTTGCCAATAAACTAGACGTGGCTATAAAACTAGAGTTTATAAACACCCTTTCTTAAGACCGAGTAATAAAAAGGGTCTTTTCTTACGAAAGTCAGGATGACTGCTTAAATAAACATAATAGTTTATACTTGTAGCATTTAATACTAATAACAACAAATAATAGTTGAATTAGTTGTAAAAGTAAGCAAAGGTATTAGTTCGTGTTTGTATTTATTTACACTTGAGTAACGGTAATTTTTTTTTTGCGCCTTAATATTTGATTATGGTAATAGCTAAAACCGAAACGCCTTTAACGCCTGCAATCCAGTTTATATATGTTTTTACTTTACCTGATGTTATTAGACTAATCCCTAACAAAAGAAATATAACAAATACTTTTAATAATATTTGATTAAGATCAAATAGTCTTTAATACTATTCTTATAAATATAGAATAGTATTATAATCGTTTACATACAATACTATTGTATATAAATGATATGACCCTAACCCTAACCCTAACCTATTGTCAATAGGTTAAAGTACCTGTAGTTTTAGTACATTTTAGTTTAAACTTATACCAACTACCTTTTGCGTTATATTTTAATATTTTACTGCATATTTCACATTTTAATTCGGATAACGGACAAAACCATTCTTTATTCAACTTGATGGACTTTTATTCACAAATACAACATTGTCTTTTGACTAAATGAACAAAACAAAACTTGCTGGGTTGTAACATTATTTAGTTAGAAGATTAAATTAAAAAAATCAATTTCGTGCTATTTGATGATTTTAAAATTAGATTGTTTGCTTTTTTTTTTTATTTTTTTTTTTCCTCTACTAACAAAAAAAACTCGTTTTGAATTCGCTTTCCTTTACACTGACCAGGACTGTTTTAAAGCCTTTCACTATTTATTATTTTCTAATTTTTGTTTCCCAATATTTTAGAAAAAAGAAGAACTAAAAAAAATTTTGTTATTTAAAAATAGAGAATTAAAATAGTTTTGCAATTAACAAAATTAATTAACAAATTAGTTTTGTAACTGGTTTTTATTTCAAACCATAGGCGCTGAAGAGTTTAAATTGAGAATTCCTATTTCTTTAAGAAATAATGTCCTTTAATGTTTTATTACTTTTTAAAACAGAATATTAAAAATTTCGTGATTTATTTTTTAACCTTTAGGAATTATTTCTTTTTTCAAAAAAAAAAAAATTATTTTTCATTATTTACTTTTACCTTTTTATTTTCTCCGCTCGATTTTGCGTAAAAGAAAACCGGACAAATACCAACAAGTCAATAAACTATATAAGGATAAAAAAAAATCTACGACTAATAGTTGGTCTGGTGTAATATCAGCATGTTGCTGTATCGTGCATCATCGTTGTTGTATTGTGCATCAGTCATCGTGCATTATCGTTGTAGTATCGTGTAATATTGTTGTTGTATCGTGAATCAGTCATCGTGCATTATCGCTGTAGTATCGTGTAATATTGTTGTTGTATCGTGAATCAGTCATCGTGCATTATCGTTGTAGTATCGTGTAATATCGTGTTGTTGTATCGTGAATCAGTATTAAATTAAAAATAACTTCATCCATCTCAGTTTGTTTTTAACTTTACTTTTTTATGTTTATTAAAGAAGTTTTATATTATATTTTTATATTTTGATTATTTATTAACAAAAGGTTCTTCATCTCCTTGTAAATAGTATATTGATTCCATTTATTGACTTATGAAGTATATCAACCGTACCATAAACTTCATTTTCATCTTGCATTGATTTTAAACTAAATTTTTTCATGATGCTGTATAGTAGCATTTTTGCTTCAATCATGGCAAATTTTTGACCCAGGCAATTCCTCGACCCAGCAGAAAAAGGCAAGTAAGAATAAGAATTTTTGATTTTCCAGTCATCAGTTTCAAAACGTTCCGGTATAAATTCCTTAGGATTTTCCCAAATATTTGGGTCAGAATGCAGCATCAAAACTAAAAGAATTATTTGCGCTCCTTTAGGAACAAATTGACCATCAATGGTCATATTTTCTTCAACTGTTCTTCCATACATTGGTACAGGAGGATGTATTCGCATTGATTCCTTTATAATATTTTCAAGATATTTAAAATTTCTAACTTTTTCAAAAAGTGAGCCCCCGTTTAACTCATTTCATCAATACTTTTGTGCAATTTCCTCTGAATTTCTGAATATTTCCCTAACAACCAAAGAGTCCAACTTAATGCAACTGAAATTGTATCGTGGCCTGCAAAAATAAAAGTGTCAACTTCTTCTTGAATACCTTCCATATCAATTTCTTTTTTTTTGTGAATATTTAGTAATAAATCCAAGAAGTAACTCTTTTCCTCTAATGGCGTGTCAATGTAAGATTCGTTAACACTTATTTCCATGCGTTTATTTATTATATCAAAAGTGAACTTATGAGCGACATCTAGAGCTTTATAAAATCTTTTCCCACAAGGTAATAGTTTGTAAATGACATCAAACCAAAGCCAAGGAAATTTCATGCGATTTACAATTTCTTTATGTAAAACAGAAATTGCTTTAACATATTCTGAGTCTGGATAACTTTGCGCATTTATTTTCACTCCCATTATTGTTTCACAAATTACATCCAACGTTGCCAAACCAATAAGTGTTTGCACATCAACGACTTTTTTATTATCTGCAGCAAAAGAAATTTTGTCAACTAAGATACATGCTTGCTCTTCAATTATTATTTTTAAACGGTTAAATACAGAAAAATGAAAGCTACTTGTCAGAAGCTTTCTACGAGCTTTCCACTTTGGTCCTGAGCTTGTCAACAAACCAGTTTTCAACCAATCGTGTATCCAATCATACGAAAAACCTTTAGTCGTAATCTTCTCGCTACTTAAAACTGCTTTTAAAAATTTTACTGAGGAAGAAACAATCATCGGTTTTGGTCCCAACCAAATACAAAACACATTTCCAAACTGTTTAGTATAGTTGCATAGTTGAAAGTATGATTTTCGAGAATCGCTCAGAAAATAAAACGAAGTCCCTAAAAATGGTGTGTTTGGAGGTGTTGCAATTGACGTAAGACCGTATGAATATTTCCAACACATCCACAATATTTTAATGAGGAAATAAAATCCACATATTATTATGCAAAGAGTGTATATCATTTTAATATTACTAAACATATAAAATATTTATGATTATTTAATTCATTCTACAAGCTGTCAATGACACATAATGAAATAATTAATAATTGTCCATACCAAACGAAACCAGGAAATTAAATTTTGTTGTTAAAAAAAATTATTTACCTAATGTTAAAAAAAATAAAAATAGTTAAAAAAAGTTACAAAAATAAAAATAGTTAATAAAATCTTTATATTACTTTGTTTTTAATTATTATTAAAAATCAATTTTTTTTCATTAATAGTAACATTAAATGGAAAAAAAGAAATTTCTTTAACAAAATCAAATTTTATAAACTTTAACTTCTTAACTGTAAGTCCTTTTAACACTCGTCAACACGTCATAAATCTGACCTGCTGATTTCATAACTAAAATCAGAATAATCCTAGAACACAAAAGAAAAATGTTTTAAAGATTCCATTAAAATAAACAAATTACACTAATTAAATACTGTTTAATTGTTAGTCAAGTGTAACATGTACATTAAAAGCACAAAGAAGTGTAAAATACAGACATAATACCAACTTAGCATTAAACAATCCATATTAAGGTCTAATTGCTAAAGTGCTTCAAAGCTTTGAGCTTTCTTTTACAGCTGCGATCAATTTTCAGACTTAAAAACTAATAAAAATTAACCAAGGCTAGTTTGAATCAAACTAGCCTTGATATCTAGTTTTCGTGAGATATTTTATGGAATGTTTTGCCACCTGTCACTTATTCTATTTAGTTTAGGAGGAGAAAAATTCTTTAAGTTTAAGGTATATAAATATTTCAACTCATTCTTTAAGGCTTCTATCATTTGCTCAATGAAATCAATAATCAAAAAAAATAATTTAATAATTAAAACAGAAACCTTTTCATGTCTGCAACCCCAGTTTTTTTAGAGTCTAGGGAAAGTTGCTGTAATATGCTACTTTGTTTATTTGAGAGCAAATAAAAATATCAAACTTTTTTTAAATTGCCTCAAAGCAGATTTTAAAAGTTATTTAAAATCTGCTTTTATGTGGACTCGAAACTTTTACAAACTATGAACTTTTAAAAAAATTAGATTTTTCAAATTTAAACACAGTTTAATTTCAAAACAGTTTTGAAAAGCAATTTGAAAAGGCAGTCGATTTTTAGTGGGTTCACAACGGGTTGATGTTTTACATTGTAATTGCTCACAAATAAACTGAGATCAAGGAGATCTCCCCTTTTTTATTGCAAGTTTTATAGTTGTCCTAGAGTTGTAAAAAACCCAAAGGTTTTTAACCTAAGATTTGATGCCTCCTCAGGCCATTTATGAAACATTTGTAAGAAAGCAGGTGTTAGCTTTCTTGTTAACGGGTAGTTTAAATACATTCTAACTGATTAGTTTTTCTTGGTCAATTTTAATATTCAGAAGTAACAATTTGACGCGTATTTTATTTAGAAGTAACAATTTAACGCGTAATTAGTTGGTTCACGCCACATCATGGGTGTTTAGAAAAGCATTGATATTTTCTTTTCCTAGTAGCTATTGTGTTAGTCCAAAATAATGTTTGTGCAGAAAACATAACGGGCCCAAATATTTTTATTGGTCACCAAGTTTGATACCAAGGCAATTTTGAAGTACAGCTTTGAATCTTCGCTAAATTTATTCATTTTTTTGTTGTGAAGTTTTCACAAATGTAAGACAAATTGCCCGGATGATTAATGCAAGATTTATTTTTTTCTTTTGTTAAGATTAAGTTAAAAAATCAATATTTTTTTTTAATGTTCTAAAAGAAAAAACACAGTATTACATACGGATTAACAAGCTATTATATGAGAAAAACTGTAACTGATAGAAAAATGTTTTCGGATTTGTTATCTGCTCAACAAGTTTTATATTAGCAAAAAAAAACTTAAGAGAGGGGTAAATTTTTTTTTGTAGTTGACCAGTGTCATCATGTACGCTAGTTAAATATGAGTAAAAAAAACTTCATCAAAAATAATAATTAATAAATATGATTGTTAAATAAAACTATACTGAAAATTATGTATATAAATATATTGAACATAAATATATTGAACATATATATATACATATACATGCCTATATAGGTCCACCGAAAATCCGCTATAGAATGTTTAATGGGATATTTTGCTGATCTATAATATTTTGCAATATTTCAATAAAAGATGTTTCCAATAACTAGATATTTCTGAAAACAAGATCTTTTTAATAACCAAACGTTTTCAATAACCACATGTTTTCAATAACCTGATACTTCTAATAACCATATGTTTTAAATAACTTGATAAAACTTATAGGTTGGTGAGATTGCCTATAGGTTAGTGATTAAGTTGAATTATGAAAATTGAATGGAACTTACGTTAATATAGTTTTAAATATTTTAAACTTTTACTTTTTTATCACAAAATATAATAATTTAAAACTTTTATTGCGAAAGTATGAAACATTAAAACACAATTGTAGAACATCTTTTTTCAAAACCGATAATTTCAAACCTATTTAATCAGTTAATAATATTTCAATCAAGACTAATATTTGTTAATAAAAATATATAATTTATTAATTAAAGACTAACACTTCATTAAAACTAATTTTCCCTATAAAGATACTTTACATGTAAATTTAACGCTTTATAAAATATTAAAATTAGCATAAGTTAGCATATTTAAAAACATTTTACTGTAAATAAAAGTTTTTTGCAAAGGGATCGTCCATAAATTAAGCAACGCTAAATTTCACTAAATTAAAAAAATTTATAAAAACAAAATAGAGGAGATCAAAAATTTTCTTTCGCCTTAAGTTAAATTAAAAATCAAAATACCCATTAAGTTTAATGAAAATCACCGAACTTAAGATTTCCAACTTTTGTTTTTAAATAAATTTACAGTCACAAAATTAAGATTTTAGAAGAGAGTGAAAAATGTTTTTCCTGTAAAAAATTTTATCTTTATTTTATCGTAAAAATTTTTATCTTTTCCTAAAAAAAATATTTTTTTCAAATAACATTTTCTAAATACAATGTTCAGTTATGGACCGTCAAGCCGTCAACAACGTAAAAAAAAAAATTATACAACTTTTTATTAATTTTGCAGTTTATTTTTTTTCTTACCTTTTGACATTTTAAAAAAACTTTGAACGATTTTATATGTATTTTGAGTGGTTTGATAATTTTTTAACTTCTTTTAAAATTGATATCCTATTTTATAATAAATTGATATCTTGTTTTAATTAATATTCGTTAATAACCGGAAATATAAACAGGCTAAACTTATTTCCAAACCTTTATTTTTCAGTAATATCTAAAGATAATATCTGTCACTTTCTACATAATATACATCTATTTTTATATATTATATAACACACTGCTCGTGTCAAGTCGTTTTTACAATTTTTTAAAATTAATTATTTTATTTAACCATAAAACTGAAAAACTTACAAACGGTTTAAAAATTTACAAAATTAGGTTCGTTGTCACTCATATAGTTAAAAACTAGTCATTTGAGTGACATCTTAAAAATAAATATAATAAAACGAAAAACCAACAAATAGCGAAAAGTAATAATATAGATAGTTAACTAAATATATATATATATATATATATATATATATATATATATATATATATATATATATATATATATATATATATATATATATATATATGTATATATATATATATATATATATATATATAAATGAAGAACAAAAATATTCGAAAAAAAACAAAACAAAAAAACATAATAAAAAATAAAAGAGTGAATGAGCTAACACGAGAGATGATGTAGTAAGGAGCATGGCCTACTATATTATATTATATTATATAATATAATATAGTAGGCCATGTAAGGAGATAACACAACGCTTAACGATCGGAAAGATTATAAAGAAAACTAAAGAATATATTTAAAAATTATAAGGCAAAAAATATGAAATCACTTGAATAATAGCAACTAGGGGTGGCGCCAGCATTTTTTGGTCTTCAAGAAATCTTACTTTTAGACATGGAGCAAACTCCAAACATTTATATGTTTATACTTATGTCAAATAAGGATGCTTTTCAAAAAATTACGATGATTGGAGCATAGGAACAAAAAAGTTCCAAAGAATGAACCCCTAGCCCAAACGTGAGTTGAAATATTTTTGTACTATTTTCAACTAGACTTATATTCATCGAGAAGTTTTAAGTTTGTCTAAATTTTAAGTTTGTTAAGTTTGAAATTTTAAGATTTTGATAAAATTTGAAAATCAATAATTAGATCTAAACTAATTTCTTTTTTTAAATTTTAATTTAAGATCCAATTATACCCATCGTCCTGAAGTTGCTCACTTTCTGTGGTAATTTATACTGGAAAAGCACACAAAAACTAAGAGCAATGGTCATATTTGTAGTTACTAAACTAGTCAATAAGGACAAGTTTGATAACCATCTGTTTGCTTGTTAATGTTCGCATGGCAACATTAGAGAACTCGGTTTTGTTTTCTTTCAAGTCAAAAATGAAAGAAATGTTTTATTTAAAAATATTATAACATGCTTTTTTAAAACATCTTTTTTTTTTTTTAATTTTTTTGTTCTTTAATCTTTACAAGTTCGTAATATATAATATAACCGTTTAGACCAGAAGACCGATGGTCTTGTCATCAAGAAACCGCTAAGCGTTAATAATATTTTTAAATACTTCAATTTAAAATAAGTTTATATTTAAAAAATGTTTGAGTTTCGGCGGAATAAAGATAAAAATGCAAAATCCAAATAAGAAAAAAGCAAAAATGCAGACAAAAAGTTTTTAATTTTTTTAATTTTATTTCAATACACATTAGTGTTAGTAGGTACACGATTAGGTAATATATAGTTCACGTGTTTAGGTAATAGATAGGTAATATATAGTTCACGTGTTGATAAATAAGCCTATTATTTATTAATATTTGTTGTTGTTGTTGTTGATGTTGTTTTTGAGTTAGTTAAAGTTTTTTAGAGTTATTAGAGATTACATTGGTTTCGGAACAAAGTTAGTTTTATACATAGTTTGAAATGTTTTTAGGTTGATAAAAATTCATAAAGTTGTTAGTGTTTGAAATAAAATCTTTTAATAACGTTTTCAAAGAATTTAAGTTATTCGATTTTTCTAGTTGAGAGTTTTTAGATATTTATTTATTATATAGACAAGGATCACGGTACAAAATAGAAAAGTGCAAGAGATTAGTTTTTTTAAAAGGAGTTTCTGTTCCTCTGGTATGGTATTTGTTTTTACTATTTTGAAAGAAATTCTTTAAAAAGTGAGAAGGAACATGTCCAAGTTTATATTATTATTAACACCGCTGTAATTAAAAACATGACACTTTATATTCAAATTTCCTATTTGTATAAAATATGATAAATTCACGATAATCGTGAACTTATGTTAAAAAGAATTAATATCATTTCCTGTTTTAAATCTTTACTTAGGCAACATATATAAATATAAGCACTACTGATGATTTTTTGAAAAAACCTCGAGTGCTAAGATTATAAATGTTTTTCCAAGAGTTTATTTAAGAGTAAAATTTATTCTTTTAACCTTGTTTGATGAAATTTTTTTTGATTGAAATTCAACCATTGCTTTTGCTTGTTTATTTGTTTGATGCGCATTTATATTTTTCATTGTATTTAGGTGCCCAAAGAAGTCCTTACGGTCTTATCACAGAGCACCGCGGATAAGCATTTAGTTGCAAGTTCACGCCTCCTTCCTAACCGATGTCGCAAAACTTGTCCTGAGGTGGGGTTTAAAGCACGGAACTTTTGTTTCTAAGGCAAGTACGATACCACTGTGCCGCGGGTACTAAATTTCATTTTTTTAAATTATGTTTTAATTCGAGAATATTTCTCCTGCTTAAGACGTTTGTTCTGATATGAATTCATATCAGAACAAATGTCTTAACCAGGAGAAGTATTTTCATGAGGAGAAATATTAAGGAGAGATTTTTTTTGAAATCTTCTGCCTATTGAGATCAGCAAAACCTTAGAATTTTCACTAAGCAAAGTTTTAACCGCACTAAGGTCGGTTTTACGTCAAACTTGTAGTTTATTGATAGAATATTGAACTATGGGATTTCAAACTTTAAATTTAATTGTAGCTAGATCTACGACAACGATTCTTTAAGGGATATCACCCCCCATTTTTAAATGTACACAATAAGAAAAAATTTTGACATAAAGTAACAAACAATATACTAAAAACATAAATTAAACAAAAAAAAGTTTTTTTTGGTCAATGGTTGTTGCATTAACCCCAAAATAAGCAAAAAAAAAGAATTTGCGTCGGCCATTTTTTAGCAAAAAGTAAAAAAAGATGCCAAGCAAAACTTTGGTAACACATTTATAATAGGTGTATGTGTGTTTTAAACGGAACAGATTTGTGAAAAAAAGTCCTGGGCCTGAAAATCTGTCTGCCTAAAATGGTGCCAGAAAATGGGTAATTTTTTGAGGAGATAAACCAGCCATACTTTTTTCTTAAAATATCATAATTCTGCTCCGTTTAAAACACAGCTCTTATTAAAAGGAAGAAATTGCGAAAATTTCAGACAAAATACTCAAGTGGTTCTTTAGTAATTGCGGCCGGCAGATTGCAAAACTCAAACTGAGAAAACACGTAAAAAGTAAAAAAATAAATTTAAAAACTTACAAATATACCAAATATTACATATAAAAATCTAATTAAAATTAGAAACTACTTCTTTGTGTGTTTTATCTTCTTTTTCTGAAGTTTCGTCAATTTTTTTCATTTTTTTGCTCTTAATATTTGACGATGCAATTTATTACGATGCAGTTTTCGATAAACCGACCATTTAATGCTAATTTTGTTAATGTTATTCAAGCAGTATATTGTATAAAAACCTGGAATTATGTTGGGTTCTTTATAAATTAGGATTGATCTCACTCTCAACGATGTAACTCTTAAGGTGAAAAAATTTAAAATAGGTTGACAAAAAAAGACACCATTTAATGAGGAAAATCTCTTACGCTGCCAAGTGCTATCACATGGCAGCATAGGAGATTTTCCTCATTAGCGTACATACCCAAAATCTCATCATTAGGACATCATTGTCTTAAATAAGCATCAGTTATTGCTTCTTGTGCAACTTCCTCTGTAATATTTGCTATTTTCTAAACAAGTTTATCATTTTTTTTTTGCGTTATTGGTTTTGGCATGTTCATGAGGTTGTAAAATTTTTGAAGCCCAGAATGTCCTTTTTCAAGAGTTTGCATTGTATATATTGTTCACGTGTTTATACCACAGTTTCTTTTTTTATTGATTAATTTAGAAGTGTAAAAGTCTTTTTGATACTTACATTTTGAACAAATAATTGAAAGTTTTCACAAGCAAGTTCTCGTTTTTTGCTTTTGTTTTCAATTAATGCTTTGCTTGTCATGGTGCAGTGGTAGCGCACTTGCCTCAGAAACGTAAGATCCGTGGTTCAAACCCCATCTCTGGAAAGTTTTGCAACATCGGTTGGGAAGGAGGCGTGAACTTCTTATTAAATGCTCTTCCGCGGTGCTCTGTGATAAGACCGTAAGGACTTCTTAGGGCACCTTAATCAACTTAAAAAAAAATAATAAAAAAATAAGGTAATAAGGTAATATATAATGTTAAAGTCATTTGTAAACAAGCTGGGCAGCACAAAACACTTACAGCATCAGCCAAAAGAAAACAGTCAATTATTCTGTAACCAATTACATCTTTGTTTTTGAAATGAGAATTCTGTTTTAGTGGTGAATTGAAAAGAGCTTTAACTTTGTGATAAGAAGAACTCAACGTATTGGAAATGTCAGTTTCATTATAAACAAAAGATAAATTATTATCACTTAAAGAGGGAATATTTACAATATTTACAACTTCACTTTCACGAGACGCCTTTACATTAAAAATCTTTCTTCCTTTTACTACTCGCTGTGTTCTGACTTTAACTCTATTTACTTTTACCATGATAAAAACTTAAAAAAATTACAACTTCTGGCAAAGAATTTAGAGCTAAAACTAAATTAAAAGCGGTTTATTTCATCATATAGTTTATAAATCTAACAAGAAGCAAAAAAGGCTTTTTATCTGTGAACTTAATAGGAATTATTTTGCAACAGTAGTCATTTACCGAGGTGTACTACTAAAAAGGAGTGAATAAACTATTTAAAATCAATATTTTTACTACTTAATAAAAATCAAAATTTTAATGCTTAGATAAATTTTTAAATATAGCCACTATGATTTTTGAAATACCCATACATTAAAATATATAAAACAGTTAAATTTTTTTTTTTGATTTTTTGAAAATTTTTGGGGGTTTATATCCCTTAAAGAAATAAGCTAAATGTCATAAAATTTTTGCATTTTTTTGCACTTGATTTAAAAATATCAAATTTTTTAAAAATGTAATATTTTGAAATCAGGTGACTAAGTATGCACCCGGTTTTTAAATATCCAATTTTTTAAATTGGAAATAAGTTATATATAAAAGTAATTTTTGAACGAATAGGAGTGAGAATTCTACTTAGTAAGTTTTACATTTAAAAAGTTAAGTTTAAATTCATGTAAAAAGCTTTGTTATAATTTATTCATAACAAATTCAAGTACTCTTGTGTTCAAAGTTTAATTAAAATATTGTTCAAAGTGAATTATCTTTTCTTTTAGCAGCAAAATATTAATATTACATGACAACTTTGATGCTAACTTTTCGATAGCAGTATTAGATAAGGAAAAAAAGTATGTGCGAACTTAAGTTTTAATCCTGGATAGGCCTGGAACCTCAAAAACTCAACCCTATTGAAAGTCTCTAGGCTATAAATAATAAGGTTGCAGACAAACAGATGTCAAGCATTGAATCATTGAAAGAAGGAAATATCTGTCGAGTTCTGCAACAACCAGACTCTTAGCACACCACGCCTAATCCAAGCAAAGAAAAAAGCAAATGCGGGTCTGTAAAATACTGACATATCCAAATATGCAATGAATTTGATAGAGGATATTGTCAAATTAAAATTTATAAGTAAAATACAGTGGTTTGTAACGAAAATTTTTATTTTATTGTTGTTTTTAACTTGAAAATACTCTCAAATTTTTGTTAATGACTGTAGATGAACTGTTGCCAATGAAATATCAGCAAATGGCTCATAATTGACCATTAGGGTAATCAACTAACAGATGGGAATTTTAATCGAGACATTTTATTTTGTCAATAAATGTGAAGTCGTTGAATCCACAAGTTAAGTCAAAAATTAAAAGTTTTTTTGAAGAAAATAAATTTAAAATACATTTGTAACTTGTGTCTGAAACAAAGTTTTCCAACACATTAAACTTATCAACTTCGGTTCTTCAGGAAAAATATTTCCAATATACAAGAGTTAAGATTTTTTTTTTCATAGTTAAGATTTTTTTTTTCATAGTTAAGAATTTTTTTTTTTCAGAATTCTATAGAAGTTCTAAAACAATTTAATTCTAAAAAACAAATATAACAAAAATTATTCTATTTACTTCACATACCAGTCCTTTATCAATTTTTTTTCTTTCTAAAAACCTGTAGAAATTCTATTATTATAGAAAATATAAACTTTCTATATATATTTAGAAACTAAATAGTTTTATAGAAATCCTATATTTTATTATCCTAAGTATATTGACATTACACATCGTACGATTTAATTTGTATATAGAATAAATTTAAACTTTATATGAGAAACATAGTTTGAAAGTAGCATTCTTCTCCAAAAACCAAATTTCGAAAGAGTTACCAAATCTAAATCAAAGTTTTTTGCCATGTTAAACAAAACATTTAAAAGAAACTCGCTTTACCATATTAAACATAACATTTAAAAGAAACTCGCTTTACCATATTAAACATAACATTTAAAAGAAACTCGCTTTACCGTATTAAACATAACATTTAAGAGCACTCAAACGGCTTTGCAGTTTAAGATTTATCTAAACCGGTTAAAATTAAAAATCGAAATTAATCTTACCTTAAAGCAAACTCTACCACGAATAAGAGCTAACGGTACTGGACCATAACTTCTAGAATCAGTGGAATTGTTAGAATTATCACCCAGTAACCAAACGTGACCTTTTGGTATCTAACGGTATTTTATGTAAACAAAATATTTATTAAAGTAATTTGTTTTTTAAAACCTCACCATGCAATATTTTTTTTTTTAATTATTCGTTTATTTAAAATAAATGGATAACAAAGTATAGAGTCAATTTCTATTATATCAAATTTTCGGGTCACATTTTTTAATTGTTGAATTAAAAAGAGCTAAAATGCCGGTCTGGAAGATTGCTTAAACTAAAACAATTTGTTATTGTTAAATAGATACTAAACTTATTACAATGCAATTAGATTTTGACTGCAATTAATGAGCCGTTAAAAATAAAACTCAATTCAATTGATTTGACTCGATTTGAATCCAATACAGATTCAAAAGATTTCATTGCACTTCAACTTCAATACAATATTCGATTAAAAAAAGTTAACAACACTTTTTGTATTATTTTAAGAATCAAAATTTATTATTTTTTAATTTTAAATGAAAAGTAGAAATATTTAAACACATTTGAAAGCATTATTAAATGTTAAAATCTCAAAGTATTCTTAAATGGCTATTAGATACATGCCTGCAAGAATTAATTTTATATATTAAGTATGCAATAGAAAACACGCCATTTTTTCACTTTTCACCATAATTTAACATCATTTCAATGCCTAAATCATTCATACTTTTACACAGTGGTCGGAAACATCACTTTTCTTGGCCGAAAGTCAAAATTTTTACACTCACGAAATATGTTTTTGTTTTTTAAATCTAGTAGTCAACACTCCAAAACAACCAAAAATTAATTTTATTGTTGTAATATGCAATTCACCGTTATTCGGTGAGTCATCGAAGTTGAATTTGTTTGCTTCATTTGTAAACAGAATTGCGTTCGGTGTTTTATAGTGCTTACTTCAATTGCTTGTTAAAGCTGAAAACAAAGCGTGTTAAATAAAAGTTTAAATGGAAAACGAAGGTGATGGTAAGTTTATTAATTTTGTAAAATATAATACTCAAAATTTGGATACTCTAAAAAATGAAATAACTTTTTCCAAAAGTCTTTAACATTTTGGAATTTATTTTATTTTTTAAGTTTGAGTAAGCTCAACACATTTTGTTTAGGAGTGTTAAGCATAAGATTAAAAACCAAAATTACTTTGAAGTGTTTAGTTTTTGAAAATGTTTATCTAGATTTGCGGTTTTTGAGTAAATTTTTATTTTCAGGCATCATTTTACAGAATTCAGCAGTTTTTGATATTTGGTTGACCCAGCAGAAGAAAGGAAAAAATAAGGACGTACTAATAAATTATTTTATACAAAAATGTGGAGCCGATAAAATTTCAGAATGCTATAAATATTTAACAGAAAAAGCACGCATGCTTAACAATAATTTGTCTGCAAAGTGGGAAAAGTGTCATAGAAGATTAGATAATTTTCAAATTAAATATTCTGGCTGGCTTTGTTCAGAAACTGTAATAAACAGGCAAATAAATTTAGAAATCGCTTCCACAGAGACTCAATGCATAGTAGAACTAAGCCCAGATGAAAAAATTGTATCACTAACTGGACGCCCGCAACTTAAGTACTCTGGGAAATCTGAACGAAGTATGAGGAGACAAGCAGCAAACCTCTTGATGTCAAAAAACAACAGAACAAATCTGTTAGTTGAAACAGCATCAATTTCGGCTCGAAAACAAGGACAATAAGATTTGGCAGTTGTTTTAAAAGAAACCATCGTAAGTCCATCAAGACCATCCAAGATTAGAAAGCTATATGTCGATGATGTAAAAGCACCTACTGTAATGTCTGATGAGGAAGCATTAGCATTTCTTCTCGAAAACAATTTTTTGAAGAGCCAATACTGTTCAATCCGGACTGAAAGCAAGCAACAAAAATTAAGTGCAGACCCGATGGTGTACTTGTAGACGACAAATGTGCAAAGGTTCCTTTACAAATGCTTTTAACGCATATGGCTAAAAGAATTATAAAGGAATGCAAAAGGAAGTATTTGCGATAATTACGGGTAACTTCATATCAACGGAAATGATATTTAGCTACGGTTTTGACAGCAGCTCTGGCCAATCTCAATATAAGCAATTTTTCCTTGATCGAAGTGCATCACGAAATGCTTATTCATGTCTGTTGGTCACAACAGTGATTCCCTTGAGACTCTCGAATAGCGCGGGAGTCCCGATTTGTAATAATTGTTTTCCACAGTCCACAAGATTTTGTCGGCCTTTAAAATTAGAGTACACGAGTAAAACGAAGGAAGTGATAACAAGAGAAGCTGCTGACTTAAATAAACAAATTCAAGAGCTTGAAAACTTACGTGTTGAAATCGAAGCTGGTAAGATAATCGAAATAACGTTCAGTCTGTTTTTAACTGTTATAGATTGTTAATTTGATGTTAAAAGTTTTGAATGTTTTAACCGATACAAAATCAAATCAAAAATGTCCAATATGCCATGCAACCCAAACTGACTTTCTTAAAGTCACAGATTATAACAGCGTAAAATTTCATCCTATCGATGGAAATCTAAAGTACGGAATTAGTCCACTGCACTGCTGGATTAAATTTTTTGAGTTCGTACTACATTTAGGATACAAGATGGAAGTAAAAAAATGGAAAATAAGATCGGATGAAGATAAAGAAGCAATTAAGAAAAAAAAAAGTATATTCAGAATGAGTTTTGGAAAGAAGTAAGTCTTCGTGTTGATTTTCCGTAAGCAGGTGGTTGTGGTTCAACAAATGACAGCAACACGTCGCGTAGAGCATTTACGGAATATGATAAATTTTCGAAAGTTTTAGGAGTAGACACCGAATTAATATTTCGAATGAGAATAATATTAATATGCTTATCTCGTCAATTTTCCCTAAATTTGAATAAATTTGAAGAGTATTGCTTTCAAACTAGTCAATTATATCAAAGCAAGCACCCCTGGTTGCCAACGACTCCCACAGTACATAAAGTTATAGTTCATTCAAAGCAAATAATGCAGAATACAGCAATTCCTGTTGGTTACTTTGGAGAGGATGCAGCTGAGTCACGAAACAAAATATATAAAAGCGACAGACTGCACCATGCACGTAAGACTAGCCGCATTGATAATCTTTTCGATGTATTTCATAGAGCTCTTGACACATCGGATCCATTAATTTCATCTCTTCGCTTAAATACACGTGTGCACCAAAGGAAGCATTTAACACTGCCACCAGAAGTAAAGGAATTATTGTATTGTGAGGATATCGGTGAAACATGTGCGATTGAGAATTTAGAAAATAGTGATGGCGACGAGGACGATTATCCAGAACAACTTGAAGAGGAAAATACATTTTTGGATAATGAATTGTATTTAAATTAGAGTTTAATAAAATTTTAATATTTTCGTAAATACGTGTGTAAATCATATTTTCAATTTCCAGAAACAACATATTTACTCGTAAGTATCGTATATTTTTAATTTAGAACTAAAAAAATAACTCAGAAAAAAACTTTTTTTTTAAATTTTAATTCTAAATGTTGATAATTTAAAAAAAAAAAATTAATTATTTTATACAAAAACGCTTAAAATATACTGCAAATTCAAATTCCAGTTAAAAATTCCGTTATTTTAAGTTTTAATAGTTTTGGCCAAGAAAAGTGATGTTTCCGACCAATGTGCAGTGTTTTGCATGAAGTATTATAAACATAAACTTATGCAAGAAATCAGATAATGATTTTATGACTTTAACATATATAAACTTTGACATCACAGACCCTATATAATGACATAACACAGACTCTATATATAATGTATTATACAAATAAAAACAATCATGCATATAAAAAAAATTTAAATAAAAATGCATACCTTTATATATTTTTTAGTGGTTTCACCCAGAACTACCTTATGTCGTTCAACTCTCTCCCCTTCCTACGCATAAAGTTATTCAAAAATTCTTTACAGTTCAAAAAAAAAAAGATATAGCTATAAAACTAACATAAATTATAGAACTAAAAAAAAAAAAAAAAAAAAAAAAAAAAACGCACAACAGCCGCTATTCTTTTGCAAACCATTTGTTTTGGATTGCTAGGTGATCGAGCAACTACAATATCACCACTAAAAATAAAAACATATTTAAAAAAATGCAATATATATTATTGAAAGCATAGTAAAGATATATTATATTATATATATAAAGCATAGTAAAGATATAAACTAAGTATAACATATTTTCATAAAAAACAAAATCATTCAAAATACTCCTATTACTATTTAAAAAACGACAAAAAAAAAAAAAAAGTTTTTGTGAAAGAAAATTAAAAAAAAGTTTTTTTGAAAGAAAATTAAAAAAAAGTTTTTGTGAAAGAAAATTAAAAAAAAGGTTTTGCGAAATAAAATTAAAAAAGAACCTTTAAAAACATTTCATTATACCAGTAAATATTAAACTAAATAAATTAAAATATATTATGCAACCTTTTTATATTTTTTTAGCAGTAACATGCTAGCTAACCCACAAGCTTTATAAATGACTTCGCGATATTGAATATTTTATTGACTTTGTGATATAGTAATAAATACAATAAAATGTTTAAATTTCAGATGCTAACATCTGATATGAAAACACTTCACTGTATTATTGATGGGTTTTTGAAGAAACTTTTTTTTATTGATTGTTTAAGTTAAAAGTCATACAAATACAATTCTTTTCTGTATTTATCAATTAACTTTCTTTAGTATAATTTATTTAATGACATATTTAAATGTCTGAGCTATAAAAAAGACTATAATAATTTAAGCTATTGTAATCTTATTTATAGCTATTGTAATATCTATTCATATTATTATAAACTCATTATTATTTATATAATCTATATTAATATTAGCTTTTTGATAAAAACTTTTTAATAATTGAAATTAAATTATATAAATAAAAAATGAAATTCGAATTGAAGTACTGCAAAATTTTGTGAAATTGACAAAAGAATTTTAATAAGTTACACTC